GATCAATTAAATGGAAGATATCGTCGTTTATTAGATTAAACAGTGTTTAATTCTGATAATTCATAATTTTTTTCCTGCAGTAGATTTGCACAAGTCACCGAGGCCGAGAACCCACATTTAAAAAAAATCAGTTTAGTTTTAAAAATTGTTAACATTGAGTTCTAAATCGGACAAAAGTTTGAAATTTAACGTTGTGAATCAGACATTGCCATCTTTGCTTAGAGGGTCACTTGCAAGTACACTTACAGTCCCTTTTAAGAGCATTATAATTACTTGTAAATATGATCCCAGATTCAAAATAAAAGGTGCTGAGCCATGCATACTCAACGCACAGGGAACTCAGTTGGAATAATTAAAGATTTATTTCTATAATTGGTTTACTCACTCTTAAAGGAACTGTTGGCATAATTTTGAGAAACCCTCAATTCAGACCGTTACATACTGGATTCACAACGGTACCCTTTTTTCTTTTACTGAATTCATAATAGGGAAGACGTCTGGGTTGTTGACCCTAATCAGTTCTTAAGAATGTTTCTGTCACAAAGATTAAAAACAAATTGTCGTTTTTAAAAATATTTAAATTCTCTTGATTTCATCCCTTTTCACTTATTGATAAATACATAAATCCGAAGGTCACTTTCATCAAGAACCGCAATTAATATAATCAATTTTGAGATGTTAAATCAGGAATATCGTGCTCAGGTAAAGGTTTAGAGGGTTCCATTGTGAATCGGATGTATGTATGCAACTCTTTAAATGTGGAGAAACTTAGAATTACGTTATTAGGCTCTTAAAGGGACCTTTCACTTATTTGGGTAACTAAACAGTCTGTTAATTGGTATTAGTCTTTTTAAAGTGAGGAAAAGTCGATTTTTCGTTCAGAATTTGAGGGCAAGGGGACGGTCCCTTTGTCTGAAACACTATACTAGACGTTTTTCAGCAACAAAAAAAATAAAAATTTATCATATTTCAATGCCATTATGTGTTAGCTATTATATACTAAAATATGAAAACTTTTGATATTTGAGTTAGCAATAAGTTTTTCGTATTAAAACGTGTAAAATGTATATAGAAAGACGACGTTCTCTACTTCAATCAACTAATTATTACACAATTTCGGTTCGTAGGTTCAACTCCGCGTTGGATGGAAATAAAATATTTATCTTACTATTCGGTTCTCTCACATACATAGCTTCTGTCAGTTTTCCAACCGATATATCTGTTATTGTCAGAGAGGTCTTTGAAAAGTAAAAGACCAATACTAATCAATAGCAAAATAAGCTGTTTAGTTTACCCAGAAATTATCCAAATATGTGAACAGTCCCTTTAAAGATTTCATGTTTCTCCAAAAAAAGCTAAATTCAGACTTGAAATATGTAAACTTTTTGCTTATTAAGTTTTAAGATAACTAGCACTTATTTTTCCAACGCAGACTGGCAATTTAAAATTTAAGAATTTATATTTTATGCGACGCAAAAACATTGCGAAAATGAAAAGCAGGATCCATGTTACATCAACATATTGATCAGGAAATATTGAAAAGATCTTTAAGAAAATTCTCCGCCTGATGTCGATCAAGAAACCTGATTAAACTTTTTAATTGAAAAATAAATCAGTGGATTAAATTTTGTAAAAGTTAAACCCTGAATAAAAGTTAAATCGGCTAAAAGATATCCTCGAAGACACCTTGGTTCTACTTTTTTATTTAGAATTAACAAATGTAGATTATTCTTGTTTAGGATTTTCTAAATATCTTTCAAGAAATTGATATTTGATAGTTCAGATTGAGGATTGATCCATATCTAACTAGTTTTAAGATAAAACATGGATATTGAAATAAGTACCAGTTAGTCAATAACTAAATCAATAGTCAGTTATCTATATTAGCTTTTTAGCCACATAGACAGTTAGTTATTTAGCTAGTCAGATAAACTTATATTTAGCTACGTGTTTAATTTAGCTAACCACGCAGATATAGGTAGTTATTTAATCAGGCATTAGTTAGATACAGTTGTCGTCGCATATATCAATACAATGAAGACGAATTTCGATTTCCATTTTGATTAAAATCAAACTTTTAAACAGCAAGGATACACATCAACATGGAAACAAAGAGAAGCTGTCAATGGAAAAGGATATTCTTTTTTTACTTGTAAACTTTTAATTCGAAAAAAGCTTGATAACGTTCAAAACTCAAATAAAAAAGTCGTCTTCATTGTATTGATATAATCGCCGACCACTGTAGATGGTGAGTCTTAGCAAAAAAAATTCAGGAATAATATCCAAATTTATTTCTGGGTGCAGAAGGTTAGAATATAAGCGTTATTTCAAAGTGACCTTTCATTTAAAAAGGTGCATCCCAGATTCACAATTGTACCCCTGTAAGCCTTAGACTGTTAATTGAGGACAGCGAACTAGTGTTTATATCTCTTAAAGGTTTTGTAAAAAGCCTGAATTTGGAGTGTACGCTTGCAAACTGTGTGGTTGTCAAAAATTCGAATGTGAATATTTATATTCTGCGACCTAGAGAGTAAATATTAATGTTTCTTGAATAGAAAACAGCTCGCAAACAAAGTGTTTATGAATCCGGGGTTAAAGTACTATAGTACTACTAGAGCTAGGAACTAAGACCAGGTTAATGTTCTATTGTTCTATAATACTACTAGAGCTAAGACTAGGTTAATGTTCTATAGTACTATAGTACTACTAGAGCTAATACTAGGTTAATGTTCTATAGTACTACTAGAGCTAATACTAGGTTAATGTTCTATAGTACTATAGTACTGCTAGAGCTAAGACTAGGCTAAGGTTCTATAGTACTATAATACTGCTAGAGCTAAGACTAGGCTAAGGTTCTATAGTACTATAATACTACTAGAGCTAAGACTAGGTAAATGTTCTATAGTACTATAGTACTGCTAGAGCTAAGACTAGGTAAATGTTCTATATTACTGTAATACTAATGGAGCTAAGACTAGGTTAATGTTCTATAGTACTATAGTACTGCTAGAGCTAAGACTAGGTTAATGTTCTATAGTACTGTAATACTACTAGAGCTCAGACTAGGCTAATGTTTTATAGTACTATAATACTGCTATAGAGCTAAGACTAGGTTAATGTTCTATAGTACTATAGTACTACTAGAGCTAAGACTAGGTTAATGTTTTATAGTACTGTAATACTACTAAAGCTAAGACTAGGCTAATGTTTTATAGTACTATAGTACTGCTATAGAGCTAAGACTAGGTTAATGTTTTATAGTACTATAATACTATAGAGCTAAGACTAGGCTAAGGTTCTATAGTACTATAATACTACTAGAGCTAAGACTAGGTTAATGTTCTATAGTACTGTAATACTAATAGAGCTAAGACTAGGTAAATGTTCTATAGTACTATAGTATTGCTAGAGCTAAGACTAGTTAATGTTTTATAGTATACTAAAATACTACTAGAGCTAAGACTAGGTTAATGTTCTATAGTACTATAATACTACTAGAGCTAAGACTAGGTTAATGTTTTATAGTTCTATAATACTGCTAGAGCTAAGACTATGTTAATGTTCTATAGTCCTATAATACTGCTAGAGCTAAGACTAGGTTAATGTTCTATAGTACTGTAATACTACTAGAGCTAAGACTAGGTTAATGTTCTATACTACTATAATACTGCAAGAGGTAAGACTAGGCTAATGTTTCATAGTTCTATAATACTGTTAGAGCTAAGACTCCCGGGAGAGAAGAATATTAAATATAAAATTTAATTCTGTTTAAAGTTGAGAAGTGTTCTTTTAATTTCCCAACTCCTTATTTTAATTAAAATCAACAGTTTTTCAGCTTAATCTTCTTTCCCCAATATTTGCTTTTCGAAGATTATAAACTTTCTCCATCTTTATCCATGTGGTGTATAATCTATTTTGATTAGTTCATAATTCTTGGTTTGGATGGTTTTCTTGGTTTTCTCCATATTCGAAGAGAATAAAGTTATTTCTTATTAAATTCTTTTCTCCGGTTAAACTTGTATTAATAAATACTTTATGCAAGATGATAAAATGTGGAAATAAAAATTCTTAAAAAATATCTTTTAAATTGAAAAGATTAACAAGTTTTTTATAAAGAAACCATACAATCCAGAGAAGATTAGAAGGTATTTCAATTATTATAATCCGTCATTTCTTTCTATTAAAGCAGGAAGTTTTCGATATATGTATAAGAAATAAATAATCATCATCTTTAAATGATGTGTATGAAAGATTTTTTTTTTTTTTTTTGGGGGGGGGTTCTTTGCCTTAAGGAATCACAGTATCATACGTTTTAAATCAATCTCAATTGTTTTCAACGAATTAATAAGAGAAGTGAAAGAAATTCAATAAAAACAAGAGGAACACGCATTTATCAATAGTTTGATTTGTTACCGAAATAATGCCAAGCTTCCCTTAATTGGGTTGAACATTTTTGTTGTTGAAAAAATATTGAAAAATACAAAGAACTTAATTATTTGTCATCATTACCTTATTTTTGTTTACCAAAAGTATATTTAGTTAATTTTTGCTCATTACTATTATTTTAAAACCTTCAAAAACAAACAAAATCAAATTTCTAGAAAATAGATAATTAAACATGGCCAATTTTCATTACCAAATGATATTTAAAATGAATATTTAATTCACAACTACTTAACAAGGAAGTTAAGGGAATTTTACTTTACCAATGGTTTCCTAAACCAATTTGGCCAAAAAACATCCAGAACGTAGCGAGGGATGTTTTGTAGAAAAAATTGATCCAGGCAACCCGTGGTTAAGTAAAATTTTTAATTTCCCGAAAAAGTATTTGTACACAACTTTTTGAAAATGTGCGAATGTCGAATTTATTCACTACAACTTCGATGAGCGGTAGGATATTTTACCTAATTGTCCCAAGGGACGTTACGTAACTTAGCATTCTGCTGTTGGGGAATCATGGGTCGTTAATGTTGGTCAATATGGTTTTAACGTGAGTATTCCTAAATATAGTTTAGATTATAGGCAACCATTCCCCCAGCACCCGCACCAGGGCAGATCTCTTGTCAGAGCCAGGTTCTCCTTCTTCTCTGTTTTGTTGCTCTTTGTACTGTTTGACCTGCTCCTAGAGCTTCGAGTTTTCTCACTATCCGCCGTATCCTCACCGGAGGCGAGGGCGGAGTCAGATTTGTGTGATCTGTGTTTACTGGAGTGTCGATCCGCCTTGTTTCTTGCTTCCACGGATTTTCTAGATTTCCTTGAAGAAGAAACAGATTCTCTTTTCTCCTCCTCCTCTCGTAAACTACCTTTCCTTAATATACCATTCACGGTTTTAGAAGTAGACACCTGACGATTTTGTGAGAGAACTAAAGAGTTACTACCGCGGGAACTTCCTTTGGGTTCTTCGAAAACTACCGATGCTCGCTTCCCGTTCCCGCCCGTGTTTCCTTCCCGGGAGAGGGTATCCGATACCGAACCCATCTTTTCCATAGAGTTGATGGATTGGGTTGAATCTCCCTTCTGTAGGTTATTCGTCAGACTGTTATTATTATTCTGAATAGCATATTTTCTGAGTGAGGAAGCACTGGGGGACTCCCGGTTTGATCTTTTTATCGTCCCGGTGGATCCAGGGATATCGTCCGGACCTGACGACATTTTACCACTGTTTGGTAAATCTTCAGCACCTACTCCGTGGGCCGAACCATTATCTGTAGGTCCAGGGGTTCTGTAGGAGGGAGGAGACAGGGCGGGGAATCCATCCACACTCTCTCCAGGCACATAGGTACTACTGCTTCCTGCTTCCTGACTAGTTGGGCTCTTCAGGGTCACGTTTATCCGGCTTCGGAAGGATCGAGCGATCTTTGGCGACGAAGGCAATGAGAGAGATGAGCTGGACTCTGCTCCAGTTTTATTATTCATCTGCGGGGAGAAGAGACCCGTTGACATGGCACAAGAAGAAGAGAGGGTTAACGGTGGGGGCGGAGGAGGCATTTCAGTAGAACCCGGAGAATTTAAACTACCATTACAGTGTCCTGGTTTACTGCGGTGGTATGAAGGAACCATGTTTCCTGATCCAAGGGATATATTATCAGTAAGCACTGGTTCACTTCGGGACGTGACAGAATCAAGGATGAAAGGCTGTCCAACCTCATCTTGAGTCAGAACGCGTACTAAGATCTTGCAACCACCCACAGTTACATAATCCGGAATTTGGCAACTAGCTTTAGGTTTAACCCTGAGATATCTTTCACCGGTGTCCACTCCTTTATAAAACCTTCTTTCTACCTCTCCTATACATATACCGAAGGTACTAACAAGAATGGTTATAGTAGAGTCTGTGATATAATGAGGAACTCCAATCAAACAAATGACCACAGAGTCATTACTAATGTCCATTACTGTCACATGCACACCCCTAACATAAAACCCATACTGGGCCATATAGTGGAGACAGTCCTTCTGGCTGAGACAAATGAATATTTTGTTCCCAGCCAATCTAACACCTTGAACCTCACACAGTTTAGCATCGAACTGTTGTTCCAGTTCATCAATAATCTCTGGTACACTCACATCTACTAGCAGAGGATAATCCTTTGTACTAAACATCACCGTGTTTGGTTCAAGGGAGTTTAACCGAACCAGGCGGGGCCGAGCAGAAGTAAGGCTCGCTGCCCCCATGCCCTGGGAGCTGGGGGTATCAGAAATACTGGAACTTGGCACCATGGAAGAATAAGTATTATATGTCTGTGGAAACATGTCTGTTGACTTGTTCTGGAATGTTTCAGATCCAGTAGGAAGGTTTCCTCCTTCTCCCGACCCGTTTATATAAACAAAGGAATTTTGTTGGAATGTTACAGATTGGCTCGGTTCCTTAGCTGAAGAGGTGGAGACAGCGGATTCTCTCACAACCTGGATTTTAGATCCATCCCGGTTTTGTCTCACTTTTTCCGTCACGTTTACACTTCTTCTCCGTAGAGTTGAAAACCCTGAGGAGGATTCAGTCTCTGTCGGCGAACTGGGACAGGATACAGCGTCTCTAGAAACCGTCGGAGCCATCCTTGTTGTTCCTGGACAAATCAGGCTCATAGCATCCTCCTCCTGAAACAAAAAATGGTAAATATCTGTCCTGAGTAGCAGGGTTCGGTCTAGTGTGCCAATTCTCAGCCCCCCCCCCCCCCCCCCCCCCCCCCCCCGACTATTCCCTCACAATATAAACAACAAGGAATAAATCATGCCCCAACACTTCACACTTTCTGGTTAACCAGGAGAAAATATTTGGCATTCAGCCCAGTCCTAGTAGGCTCTCTAACAGAGGACATAGATTAGAAAACTTGCCTAAACTTCAAGGTTGGAGAGGATTGAACCATATGTAGGAATTGTACCAGTATATCAAGGCTTACGAAGAAAGGAGAGAAAAAGGAAGAAAAAAATTCAACTATAAATAATAGATAAAACATTTATCTTTATTCTTAGATTGTATTCATATGTAATTAGTTATGTGTAGAATCAAATTAATTTAAATCTTTTTATTTGAGTTGGTTGAGTATGTTTAGATAAAGAACTAATGACGAATTCCTCAAAACTTCAAAAAAAATACATATAATCAATTGACATCATAGGAAAGGTTAAAAATGATCCCTTTCTTCTACGAATTTGAATTAGTTTTGAGATTTTATGGAGTAAAATCAGGTTTAAAACTGCATTAGATTGAGGTTCTATAGTTTCTTTATTGCTAATATATTTGCTGATATTGCAATAGGTTGCAAAATTTCCTCACACTCCTACCACCTTTTATATTTGCACATCCTGAAACCAATCAACTGGAAAAACAAAAGAATTGCCACCGGCGGCTAAAATCCGGATTTTAAAATTATCTCACAAGTTTATTTCAACCTCAAATAGATTTATCGCTTTCTTTTCCCTTTCTTCTATAAAGAAGAATTTGAGGCTTTGCCATAAACTCTGTGTTTCTAATCCCTATATCTTTGTAACCCAATGTCGTAGACCTTGGATATTTAAATCTGTAAACTCTGTTGGATTAAATTATCTAAGTTTAAAATATCAAAGATTTACACCATCAGGTTGCTAAGATATAGGGATTAGAAAATTTGAGTTTGTGGTACAGACTAAATTCCTTGATCTATTTCCCCCCCTTTATTCTGACCATGTTAAATTAAGCCAAGTTCGCCTAGTTTTATAAAATTAAAAATTTCAGATTTTGTGTAGAAAAGTCTGGATATGAAGTAATCCTTATATCCAGACTAGGCGGGAGTAGTGCTCCTGTTTTCTATTCAAAAATCAACTCTTCTTATCCCAAACCTTCAGAAATTCAGATGAGAACAATCATTCTTTATACATCCAAACCAAAATACAGGGATAGGGAACTGGAAACCAGAATACAGAGATAGGGAACTAGAAACCAGAATACAGGATAGTGAACTAGAAAACAGAATACAGGGATAGTGAACTAGAAACCAGAATACAGGGATAGGGAACTAGAAACCAGAATACAGGGATAGGGAACTAGAAACCAGAATACAGGGATAGTGAACTAGAAATCAGAATACAGGGATAGGGAACTAGAAACCAGAATACAGGGATAATTAACTAGAAACCAGAATATTGGGATAGGGAACTAGAAACCAGAATACAGGGATAGTGAACTAGAAACCAGAATACAGGGATAGTGAACTAGAAACCAGAATATAGGGATAGAGAACTAGAAACCAGAATACAGGGATAGGGAACTAGAAACCAGAATATAGGGATAATGAACTAGAAACCAGAATACAGGGATAGTGAACTAGAAACCAGACTACAGGGATAGTGAACTAGAAACCAGAATATAGGGATAGGGAATTAGAATCCAGAATACAGGGATAGTGAACTAGAAACCAGAATACAGGGATAGTGAACTAGAAACCAGAATACAGGGATAGTGAACTAGAAACCAGAATATAGGGATAGGAAACTAGAAACCAGAATACAGGGATAAGGAACTAGAAACCAGAATACAGGGATAGTAGAAGTAGGATGGAAATACATCTATAGATAAAAATATCTTTTATCTTATATCTGTGAATACAAAAATATTGGTAAATATCTATAAACTTTATTTCCCTCCTAGATGTGGTGGTATATTGCCAGGACATAAAAATGTATTTAGGTTTACCAGTATTAGCATTTAGGAAGGTCGCAACTTTTGAATAAGATACGCCTGAACTCGATATAAACAGCAGAAACTTTTTATATGAAACGATTAAAGTATTTGATCCTTGTGATAACAGTTAACTCCTATTTTCGATCATTCACGGCCCAAGAATACATTTTATGGCTTGTGATTGGTAAAACCTTTAGAGATACCCAAAAGTAATTAACATAAGCCTTGTTAAAATTAAGGATCATCGCGTTCTGAAGGGATTAACAACTCAAAAATTCCAACCAAAGGTTATTTTTCTTTTTTTATTCTACCAGTCACATGATTTTTGGGTCCCAGTATGATTTATATCTGGATACCATTTAAGATAGGATAATGTATGGGCTGCTAGAGAGTAGAATAGAGATTGGTCCTGCTTTGAATAAAATGTTTATATGCATGACACATATATATTATGTATAGTGATTAACGTAAATTATAAATGTTTTGAGATGAATAAAAAATGATAGACCCACAGAATATATTATGATAAACTTAAATCAGGCGCACTTAAGCGTTTAAGTAATATAACAGTATTTTTAAGTTTAGCAAGTTTTGTTATGAGAGGGGTAAAATAATGTTGTACTGAGAACCCACCTTTCTACACGGATGATTAAAATATCTGTCCTGGGCTACACTTGTATCCAGACGAAAACTTTGAACTATTTCCAAGAGTTGATCAAGGTTGAAGTGGGTCACTGGTTCCCCTCCAGGTGTAAAGGTAACCTGGTTGGGGGAGTGCGCCCCCCCTAGGGGGATTGAAAACTTGCCCCCTGGGACGGAAGTATTGAAGGGGGGCACGGGATAGGAGGGGGGAGCTCGGTAACTGTCCAAGCAGTCCTCACTGAGTGCCGACTCATCTACCTAAACAGGTTTCAGTTACTCAGCTAGTAGTTGCAGGCTTTATCGGCGCCAAAAAGGCTTTGCAGAAAAATCATTTTTTAAATAAAAAAGCGTAAGAAAGAAAGAAGCAAAGAAACCTGGTTAGATTGAGAGAAAAACACATTGATAATATTTCTAACTATTCTACTGTACATTGTACAACATCATTGTAGAATAACTGTTCAATGTACATATTTATCTAGAAAACTGTTAGTTTTACATGAATGATTTATAACTATTTTGATGCAAACAACAGAAAAATTAAAATAAAGCTTTTAATATTTGCTATATCCAATAAATGAAAGCTGGTGATAAACTTTTACTTTTACTAAGATTGTCAATTTTTACTTTTCATTTACTATAAAACTTGGCCAAAATTGGGCATTTATTGTAAGTCTCGCTGTATAAATCTAATCTCTAAATGTAGATGTATCTATTTATGTTTTTATAGAAGAACATCCAGATCTAATCCTGATCCAGGTTCAATATATGACTGACGAGACGGAATAAAGCTTCTTGGATATTAATGCTTTTTATCCAACTCAAAATAAATCGAATCTCTAATATATATCAATAAATATTTGTCATTCCACAGATATGTGTTTGTTCGTTTAAAACTTAGGATTCCTTAAAGCAAGGAACCATTTTCTGCATTCAAATATGGATAACAGACAAAATATCTAAGGCATGTTAGTAAATTTTCTTCCGGAATATAATTTTTAAATATTTAAGATTCTAAGAAGCCGAACAAAATACTTTAAACATTTAATATTCAGAATAAATGGTAAAAAAACTGATGTAGTCTGATTTCTTGAAATTTCAATCTTATTAAATTAACAACGAACCCCCCTCCCCTCCTTAATTCTTTAGATAAAACCCATGGTCACTATGGTGGGATTGCGGCAAATATAAGGCAAGCTGTTTCCTTATTAAAATGTAAAATGTTTTGTCTTCAATCTTAGATATTTTGGAGAAGCTCTAGTTTCTCTAGTTATCCTCTTTACACTTCACTTTTCATCTAGGATAAGTTTTTAGTTCAAACACAATGATATTTGTTTTCAAAACCGCTTGTGGAATTTTAAATTTGTAAGGTACGTTAGCTCATAGAAGAGGAACTTTTCCAAACGTGACAGAAAACGTTGACCACGACTCAGGATGAACTAAAGTACGTTTCTCGAAAGTTATATAACGTTTTTTTAAAAAATGGCATGGCATTTGTTGAAAAGAGAATTTGATTTAGAACCAGTATAGATTTTGAGTTAGCTGTTGCTTGAAAAGAAAAGATTTTAGAATTTGAAATGAAATCTTTTCTTAAGAGGAATTGAAGAGAAATAGATAAGTTTATTTGAATCAGGGATTCAAGGGAATACGTTCTAGTGGAAGGATGGTGGGACGAGTATGGATCAGTTCTAGTGGAAGGATGGTGGGACGAGTATGGATCAGCTCTAATGGAAGGATGGTGGGACGAGTACATGGATCAGTTCTAGCGGAAGGATGGTGGGACAAGTACATGGATCAGTTCTAGTGGAAGGATGGTGGGATAAGTATGGATCAGTTCTAGTGGAAAGATGGTGGGATGAGTATGGATCAGTTCTAGTGGAAGGATGGTGGGATGAGTATGGATCAGTTCTAGTGTAAGGATGGTGGGACGAGTATGGATCAGTTCTAGTGGAAGGATGGTGGGACGAGTACATGGATCAGTTCTAGTGGAAGGATGGTGAGACGAGTATGGATCAGTTCTAGTGGAAGGATGGTGGGACGAGTATGGATCAGTTCTAGTGGAAGGATGGTGGGACGAGTACATGGATCAGTTCTAGTGGAAGGATGGTGAGACGAGTATGGATCAGTTCTAGTGGAAGGATGGTGGGACAAGTACATGGATCAGTTCTAGCGGAAGGGTGGTGGGATGAGTATGGATCAGTTCTAGCGGAAGGATGTTGGGACAAGTACATGGATCAGTTCTAGTGGAAGGATGGTGGGATAATTATGGATCAGTTCTAGCGGAAGGGTGGTGGGATGAGTATGGATCAGTTCTAGCGGAAGGGTGGTGGGATGAGTATGGATCAGTTCTAGTGGTAGGATGGTGGTACGAGTGCATGGATCAGTTTGTGGAAGGGTCGTGGGACGAGTACATGGATCAGTTCTAGTGGAAGGGTGGTGGGACGAGTGCATGGATCAGTTCTAGTGGAAGGATGGTGGGACGAGTGCATGGATCAGTACATGGATCAGTTCTAGCGGAAGGGTGGTGGGATGAGTATGGATCAGTTCTAGCGGAAGGATGGTGGGACAAGTACATGGATCAGTTCTAGTGGAAGGGTGGTGGGACAAGTACATGGATCAGTTCTAGTGGAAGGATGGTGGGACAAGTACATGGATCAGTTCTAGTGGAAGAGTGTTGGGACAAGTACATGGATCAGTTCTAGTGGAAGGATGGTGGGACAAGTACATGGATCAGTTCTAGTGGAAGGGTGGTGGGATGAGTATGGATCAGTTCTAGTGGAATGATGGTGGGACAAGTACATGGATCAGTTCTAATGGAATTGGATCAGTTCTATTGGAAGGATGGTGGGACTAGTATGGATAAGTTCTAGTGGAAGGGGGGTGGGACGAGTACATGGATCAGTTCTAGTGGAAGGGGGGTGGGACGAGTATAGTTCTAGTGGAACGGTTGTGTGACAAAACACTTTCTATACTTTATTCAAGTAAAAATGTTGAAATACTTGAATTCAAATCTTCTTTAAAATTCAAAATTGTTCTCAATTTTTTATCAGAAGATCTTTTATTCTAACAACTTTACTCACTATACAACCCCACTAAACTGAGATTGTGTATGAAGAGAATCTTGTAACAACGATTTATGATTTTCTTTAAAGAAAGAAAAAATATTAAAAAAAATATCTTCACCGAAAAAAAAACTCCGGAATTAAAAGCTCCACAGAATATCAGAAAGAATCTCTGGAAATGAAAATCGAAAAATTACAAAAAATTACAAAAAGAACCAAAGGTGAATTGTAGGAAAAAAGTTAAATTTTTAAAATGATTATAAAGCTGTGAAACGCTATCGTCAATCCCCTCTCCTTATAAAAACATGACCAAGCAAATCTGAATCTAGAAAAAATGTTTGTTAATCAAATTTCTTAAATCCTTTTGAATGCATTTTCAGCATTTCTCAGGCTCACATGAACCCAGTGAAATTATACTATTTCCACTATTAAACATAAGGATTGTCAGTATGATTTAATACATATTTATGTATATATTTGGTAGAATATGAGAAGGTAAAGTAAGAATAGAATAAGAGTAAAGGATAATAAATAATAAATAAAATAAAAATGAGAGTGTTCTCTGTTTTCTTTTCTAAAATGCATTTTTTCTACTTAGCTCTTTGTACTCTGCTCTTCTTTGCTCTACACTGTTCTGCTCTACTCTACTTTGCTCTACTCTACTTTGCTCTACTCTACTTTTCTCGACTCTACTTTGCTCGACTTTGCTCCACTCCACTCCACTCCACTCCACTCCACTCCACTCCACTCCACTCCACTCCACTCCACTCCACTCCACTCCACTCCACTCCACTCCACTCCACTCCACTCCACTCCACTCCACTCCACTCCACTCCACTCCACTCCACTCCACTCCACTCCACTCCACTCCACTCCACTCCACTCCACTCCACTCCACTCCACTCCACTCCACTCCACTCCACTCCACTCCACTCCACTCCACTCCACTCCACTCCACTCCACTCCACTCCACTCCACTCCACTCCACTCCACTCCACTCCACTCCACTCCACTCCACTCCACTCCACTCCACTCCACTCCACTCCACTCCACTCCACTCCACTCCACTCCACTCCACTCCACTCCACTCCACTCCACTCCACTCCACTCCACTCCACTCCACTCCACTCCACTCCACTCCACTCCACTCCACNCTCCTCTCCTTCATCTCTCCGACCCTCTCTCTCCTATCCCTGATTCGAGAGTTTGGAATGGTTCTGAGACTTGAATCTGGTTCTAGATTCTTTACTCCAATTCAATCCTACATTCTCCCGGAGATAAATGGCATTTCTCTACTCCGGGTTTGTGATATAACCAATACACGGAGTATATTTTCTCAAGTTTAACCGGAAGTATAACCCCGAGACCTAGAACCGTTTCATTCTCCTAAACTATCTGCTATTTGGAATACTAAACCAGGAATGTTGAAAATTCTAAACTAGAAATACGGGACTCCGCGACCAAGAAATGTCAACTTAAACTTATTCTTCTTTGTCCGTCTTCTGTATAGTTTTAGTTGTGTTCCTTCAAGTCTTTGTAATTCAGCACAGTCTTTATATGTTTTTAAATCCTTTTTAAACTAATTTTTGTAAATATTTGCTAATTTGGATTCAATGAATTTTAAGTATTTTAAAAATATCTAAAGTGTCTAGGTTACATTTAATTAAATCCCAAATTTAACTTTAGCTTTAAAGGGACTGTAGGTGTAATTTCAAGGTATCCTCCTTGCAAAGATGGCAATGCCGATTAACAATGGTACCCTAGAATACTTTATCCGATCAAAAATTTGGATGAAATGCTCAAGTCCACAGTTGAAAATAATCATTTTCCAAAATCATAAACAATGATATAAAATTCATGCGTCATCAGACAAAGCTGTTAAGGTATCGGGCATTGTTACTGAATGAAGGGTCACTTTAAATGCCTTAAAATCGTTATTTAAATCATGATTTATACTATTTATGACTGTTTAGTTTTAAAATTAAATATTTTCTGTAAAATTATGAATTTGCCAACGAAGTTTTGTTTATTTTGTTTACATGACAAAGGAAGAGTAGATAAAAGGGTTTGGAACCGATTTAGATGTTGGAATTGATTTGCTGGAAAGGAATAAACAAAACAGGATTTAGCAAGAAGAAAGAAAGCTGTTAGATGTTGGAAACTAGTTTGGAGGAAACTGGTTTAGAGGACAGAAATTGG